TGTTATTTTAGCGTATGGAATCGATTGTTTTGTAAGCATAGTAGGCGAAACAATAGTCATTTTATGTCGAAGAAATGCAGGACATCGTCGCGCCAACGAAGGAAAACGAGAAGCAGCAAATTGTTCGAATTTTCTTCCATATGATGGTGGAATAACATACCTAAACAAACATGTTTAATTGTACTTGTGTACATTCTCGAAAAACAGAAACAAAACTGTTATGCAAAAGAATACACTGTCTTACTGATTGATTCTATGCATTTCTTTCTAAATATCATATCGAATTATATAAATATATATACATGAATAAGAGAGAAGATTCATTCATGTGTTTACCATTGTTTCGGTGCCCCAAAATGGAGATAGTTTATGGAATAAAGGTCCATATCTTCTGTATGCCAAGCAAAACTTGCTTTCCACATGCCGAAATATAAATAGGCTGTGTTTACTCCTTGGATTTTAGTTCCATATTCTGTTGCGAGATCATCGAGAATCGTGCCAAGGTTATTCACATTCCAAACTGTTTGATCTTCATCATATAGTGAGCCACTAACATCTAAATAAGAAACAAAAAAACAATAACTTCTCCAGTCATATTTCACAGTTATAGATATACCAGCGCCATATATCGGTGCATTCGAAGTTAAACTTTGCCAGTATTTCTTCTCTAATTTTTCCAAATCATCTGCGATTGCTTTGGGTGCAGCATATCGACTCGATGCTGCTAGTCGTTGAAATGAACTTAATTTGATTGAACGTTGTTGAATATTGAATACCGAATAGACACCATCTTTTCCGTGAACTTCTTGTTTGATTGGATTTTCCACCATTCGATCATCGATTTGCTTTTGCTTGTAACCCGTTCGACGTGCGACCCATTCTTTCGGTGGAACAATTTTAGCTAGACCAATTCTATGTGCATCACGGGCTTCAATCGAAGAGATAAACGTAGAAAAATCTTGAAATTCATCAAGAGTCGGATAAAAGACTGGCACTTCTATAGGCGAAGATACCATCATTATCTGTAAAAGATAATCAAAATTCAAATACATATATATATCAGCACTTTTACTGTTAATAAATATTCGAGAAAAAAAAGATGTTTATAAAACACGAAAAAAAACACACGCGGAGGAACACCGAGATTTAAAATTTCGTTTGATCACAGGCATGATTAAATTTTTGGGCGTGTTGTAGTTTGGTATGTTGAGTACGACACTCTCGACCATAATAACAGTTACCACGATTGCGCATTAATGCAGGAGTGATATCATCTTGTTTCATATGCACACGAAATTGATAGGCCAAGTCTTTGAACATTCTCAAACCACATTTATAGCAGGTTATCTTTGAGGACGGAACTAAAACATAGAAATGCTTATTGTAAATAAGAATACCAAGGATGAAGTGTCTTACTAGCAGCATTACGATCGATACCGGGACAAGTGAATTCACCTCGATCGAGACGATCACAACATTCAACAAGTAGATCACGCATTGTTTTTCGATTGGTTGTTAGATAATCCTAGCAAAGGATGAATATGCAATCTGTTCTATTCCAATAAATCAATTTACTTGAACAATTTGTGATTCGACCGGATTCTCAATGACAAGATTGGTAAGGTGACGAGGAGAGAAATTGAAATCTACTCAAAAAGTCTTCATCTTCGAAATGCAGAAAGAGAACAAGACTACCTCTCAATCGATTTAAACAACCAAGACATCCATTTCGTTGACATTGTTGAAAGTAAATGTTACAAAAGAATTGATGACACACTTCACCTATTTCAAATAAAATGAAAACATATTTAAAGAAAATTCTCAGAGAAACTACGAACAATGTTGATGTATATCAGCTTCATCTCGTCGATCTGGCATTGGTAGAAGACAACACTGGCATAGAATATGATTTTGGTTTGGTGGACATTGAAAACCAGGCGTTGCTGCGTTCGCTAAGCATAGAACTATAAAAATGGATATAATTGCGTAACGGACGCACCTATGACACCTTGAGGACATTGTCGGCAAGCAAACCTTACATTAGCAACAGGGGGAGGCAGTGGTGGTGGAACAAACACAGGAGCACTATACATAGATATTTATGAGATATATTTTTTATATGAACGCATAGCTTACAAGAGAGGATAATTATTTCCATTACCATCATCATCATCATCATCGTCAACGTCGTCCTCGTCTTCAACCTATAGCATTTCATCAAAATGTCTTATTTTCTTCAATGCAGAAAAATTACTTCATCTTCATCATTATCTTCTTCCTCCTCATCGTCGCCACCGTCATCATATTGAGTGTTATAGAGATACATACCATCAGGACCGACCTATATTGACAAACGAAGGTATGTGGATCTATTCGAAATATGTTCTCAAAAACAAACCTCATGTTTGTCATTTTTTAACCTTTTCGCTTTCTCCGTATCTTCATCTGGTTCTTTTGGTGCTGGTCGTTTGTTAGGATGTGCTTTCAGATAAGCGTCTAAGATTCCATTGATAACAAAGTTTTTCTTCTTGCCAGTCACTTTAACACGACACTTCGGACTAAATGAAACGTCTTGAATGTCTTACAAAGACTCTACATCAAACTCTATACCATGTACGTTGCACTGCTTCCCATGATTCATAGCAATCACTACAGAATGCATGAAGACATGGTTCGAGACTAATTGGATTTGTCATAATATCTTGGCAGCACACACAGGTAAGAACGTCTTCCATGTCGTCACCAGCGTCCATAGCGAATTCTTGTTTTGGTTCGTTTTTTGTTGTCATCGGCTTCATTTCAACATCGGAACTCGTATCTAATAGACTCGATAGATCAGTATTTTCTTGTGTAACTACATTTCAAAATAAGTTCTTATAAAATAAATATTCATAATCACTTACGATTAGGAGATATTGGTGGGATTGATGGGTACGACGTCATTTGCGTGTCTAAGAAAGTGAAAGATACTCTAATGGAATTCAAGATAAACTATCTTCGTACCTTCATCATACAGACATAAGTCTTTATCTGTCTGTTCCTCTATTGAATTTATTACTGGTAAATCGACTTGAAAGACAACATCTACGAAATGCAGATCATTTGATTGAGAACAGTAATTGATTTCAAATGTGTCAACTAACTCGATTCTATATCATCTTTTCGGAAAACTAGGTGAACGGTGTCATTCGTGTTAAGTTCTACACGCTAAATATCAACAAATCTTCAATTATTTTCTTTCTACAACATCTTCACTTACAGGATCATTTTTTGTTACTTTAGTCGATCGATTAATTAATGTTCCATTCGAACTCGTATCACGTAGGTACAGATGACCATGATCATATTCAAAAACACAGTGCGAAGACGAAACATATCGATTATTTGCAATAGATAAATCATTCGCTAGAAGAAAAAGAAAATACTCGAATTACTTTCATCTTTATCAGTCATTGATCAATTCTATCTTTCATATTGAGCTTTTATTTACTTTCAGCACGACCAATCTTAAATTGATCTTTGTATACTGATATGATATTGTGATTGTTCAGATTTTTCAAACGATACAGTACAGACATATCTATTGACGGCATCTAAAACAAGATATCATTGGTAGTGAGTCGACCTTCAAGTGTAATGAAGCATTTGCGGTCAAGATAATCTACATGACGTTTTCTATTCTCGCTCTTGTGTATGACTAGATGTCATCAGATCGCTTCTTACCTCGCTGTAGACTGAGTAAGAAAGGAAAAGAAGAAAAGGATCATATAACGAAACCAAAAGAAATAACAACATACCGGTGCAATAACAAAATAAACAATGCCATTCGATTGACGTAATCGATGGACCAATCACATACATCTTGAGAAATTTCACTACACATGACTTATTAGATTAACATCTATAAAAAGTTTTCAAACATAAAGTGGGAATATTTTATTGAATTCGACGAGAGACATCTATATTCGTTCGAATAGGTTTGTCTAACTAACCAATAGAAAACACAAATCGATACATACATACATGCGCGTACTGATTAAAAGAATCTGGAATAAACTATGGCGTAGATCTCGATAGATTTCGTACCTTTAAGGACAGGAAAATGTTTTAGACCAATAAGTCTGATATGATCATATTTTGAAAAGTTTCTTCTTCTGGTAGATATTCTTAAAACCATGGGTGGCGCGATTCATCGCGGCACACGCTTTTTGCGTATGTATAACATCGATAATCGAGTGGATCGAGTGCTTACAAAAGAAAAGCCAGCACCTGCCCCACGACACCCAACTGAACAACAAATTTCACAATCATCCAATGCGGAAAGTGAGTGAATCTCTCTCCTTTATTTTTTCTTTTCATCTGTAGTCAAATCTCCGTCTTTCAGATAATATTGTATCTGAGGTTGTCCATCAAAAGAATGAACAATTATTAGAGCATTTACATGATGTTAAAGTCTACTCTTCCGGAGATAATCCAGTTATACGTCGCGTGAACGACACAAGTAGCCATTCATCGATACCGCCATTACTGAACCGTGTTGAAGAACCAGTCGATGAAAATAGTGCTGATAGCGCATTTGGTTATGTCGAGCCTCAACGTATTCATCCCGGTCGAGTATCGTTACGTCAGTTTCTTGCATACCTTCAAAATCATCGTGATTCACCGCAAGAATATTCTATCGAACGTTTCACTGAAATGTATACAATTAAACCTGAAGTAGCACAACAACTGTTCAAATATCATAGTCTATTGGCTTTACAGGAAGTTGCTCGCCAACAGAGTAGATCTCCCGCTCGACCGCCTCATATTGCTGCAGCCGAAGTTTTCAGTATTGAAGCTGAAGCACGTAGGAAGCCTGGTCCTGAAACAGGCATTTCTTCGAAATTTTGATAGTCCTTTTGTTTTCCGTTGTGTATTGTTTTTTTCTTTATAGAAATATAAAACAGATTAGTATTTTTTAAATCGAACATATAAAAAGAAAAGGAAATAGACAACACATGTTAACCGAATTCTGATGGTGGATAACGTCCTTGCACTTGTTTGATTGCATTTTTCCATTTTTTGTAGGTCACATTACTCATTTGCCATGCAGCCTGATGTTCTTTCCGCCCATGTTCATCCCGTATGACATAGGTTATAACCATATGAGGATACTCTGCCCGATAGCGTTTGTTAAAATCTATAAAATGCACAAATCCTGTTAAAACATTGATTAACATAGCGTGATGGATCTTTTTACATGATTTCTGTTGTATATCGATAATTGCTAAAACTGGTACACGCAATACACCTTGATCACAACAGCAGGTACATCCACTTTTTCTTACTTGAGAATACAGACAATCTTCAGTTAGAGCCATTTCTGCATGACCTAGAGCCTACAGAGTGACAAAGCACATACAAGTTAAACAGTAAGTCAACGATTTGAGAAAGAAAAACTAAACAAACTTGAAAACGGCCCCGTTCGGTACTTCCACTGAATTCAATGTAGGCATTCTGTGACTGCAAAATAGTCGGTTGAATGAGACTAAAATCTATGAGTTCTCGCGAAGAAAAACAACCCATTTTGAAGCACGAATAAATCGTAGATCAATTGACTAAAGAAGTCACTAGCGTGACGCGTATGAATCATTTGTCGAGGGATCACAAACGAGATTAAGCAGATGGCGATAGTGAATGATCCGAATTATATAACATACAGCGATGCGCAATTGTTACTAGGGTCGATTTGAAAGCATGACTTCGCGTGTAAAGTCGTATGCGTTTGTTTGCTACATAATTTAACGACAACTTAGAACGATGCTATACTTATGTCTGAATATTCTTAGAAAGGAAACACGTAAAAGCTGCTGTCAATAAAATAAAATTTCAAAGTGAAATTGGGAACATTTATTCTTTAAATGAAATTACAGAATTTCGTTCGAACAAAACGTGCCATGAGAAAGCGCAATTGTATATATGTAACTGTGCTAAATTGGCAGCTGTCAGATTATGAGAAAAAACGAACTCGTAACGCTCCATTCATGCCTTAGGCATAAGGGAAAGCATTAACTATTAAATGGAAGGAATAGCAGACTTATTGACGCGTAAAGTACACATTTAAACAAAGAATCTGCGAGTTTTTTGTCCTCTTTAGATTTATCTTCGTAAACATATGAAAGTACTCATTTAATAGTATAATGCATTTGAAATTAGAGTGATATAATAACTGTGTGACTCAAATGAATATCAGAAACTCGAGATCTGAAGAAGAGAGACTTTTCTTGTGCGATGTTCATTTCGACATGTTTTAGATTCTCAATAATTAATCAACGAATGAGAATGTCGAGAGGAGAGCGGCGAGTACATCCGAAATAGTTCACAAGATTACGTCAGAGATTGTTTCTTCTTTTATCTATTTGAAAGCGGAGTTTCGCACATCATGTTTTTACACACGTATGAAGGATACTTTGCTCCGATTTCCTAATAGAATGCCAAGTTTCACCATATAACTTCACGTCCATAAATAATTCCATAGTTCAAGAAGAAGGGATTGACTTTTCCTTTGATTTCTTCACGCTTTTCGACTAAAACAAACAGACATCTATTGATATTCCTAACTTCATTCGAGAAGAACTCTACGTCAGATCGTTGCATTCCTTTCCTTTCGCGGATACGATCAAACATGTTTATATCGAAGCATATTACACGCAATGTGTTCGCTTGACTTTCTTCATGAATAATTAATTAAAAAGAAAAGAACACTGTTTTATAGGATAGTGAACTACAATACCACAATAACCATAACTATATTTTTATCAAGAACTTTAACAAGAAAATCCTACTAAGACAATGAATATGTGGATGTTGACAAATATTCTGTTAAATATTGTAACATTAATCAATTGTATCTTAACAATTTTCATTTGTTTCTTTATTCTTTTCTTAATTTTATTCTTTCATCGAAAATCTCGCTCTGTTCCACTATTACTTGCTGCTCATACATGTTCGACATTACTCATATCCGGGTTGATGTTAGCAAGTATGGCAAACGCAAGTTTACTCGGATTTCTGGGTATTTCATTAGAAGAACATCGACCAACGATTTGGTGCCGCTGGCGTGGCTTTTTTATCCATGGTTTTCTCTGTGCTCTTTATGATTCGTACATTTTACAAGCTGCATATCGTCTTTGTCGAGTTGTGTTTTACCGTCGGAAGCGTTTACATAGTTTTCCCTTATACCTACTTCTTGTACCTATTGAATCAACCTTTGGTGTTGTATGCATATCACCTGTTCTTCTACGTAATGATGTTATTTATCTTTCAAGTGAATTCTACTGTCAAACGCCGTTTACGAATATCCCAGCGATTTGCTATGTTGCCATTCGATTGTTTTTTCTTCCACTTCTATTTATCGCTTCAGTTTATATATTCCTACTCAGACATATTCGAAATATGACATCATCGCCAGCAATGACCGGATATTATCGACGACGTACGAAGCAAAATACTCGAGATTTAGTTGTTATTCGACGATTGTTGTTAATGTTAGGCGTGTTAATTCTTCTTGGTTTACCATCGATGGTTTTCTTAGGTATTTTTCTATTTACAGGATACCTCACTCCTGTTACATATCGAATCGGATGGCTATCGGTTTCTATATCGCTTGTTTTTCTTGCTTATATGATCATTCAATTGACGAGTCCACTACGGAAAACCGTCCGACGAATCTTTCAACGAAGTCCTTCCAGTCAAAATCGCAGTAAATCTTCACGAGAACATCAACAGCAAGTGACTAGCGTGTAATATTCCTGGTTTCTATCAAACGTTATTTCGACAGTCGTAGCTCGATGTGAATTCACTCAGTGAAAGAGTCAACGACTTGTAGTTGTTATGCGAACGATGACTCTGAGCAGATTAAGTTTGAAAAGTACGCCGAGTTTCAGCATGTGTTGTATAATGTTTGGTTCATGACAAGATGTTCATCTGCTTTGTTTTATTTTCTATAAACATATGTTCATGACATGAAACATAAAAAAATCCATTGTTCTTTTCTCTCCTATGTTTTACTGCACTCTAAGCGCAATTTTTCCTCGCGTTTGTCGAACGCTTTGTCAGAGAATTGCATAAATCTTGATTTTGAAATTAGAAAAAAATTGACTAAAAACCTACGAGCAACATTTTATTATTAAACGATTATGAATCATAATCTTTGCGTATATAAACGATACTGATGGCAATATCTGTAGGTATTATCTCCTTAATTGATACTGTTTCCGGCAGGAGAACAACAAAGTGCAGTCACTTTAATATGGCATTACTATATTTTGGTACAAAACATCGTTTATTGAAAAGAACTTGATTTAAGAGAATAGACTTCTTCTTTTATCTTTGCTTCAGGAGGAATTTCCCAAAATTGTCGATTTGTGGTGTGTGTGAATGCCGAGAATTGATCTTCGTCACCCGACAGAAAACTGATTCATTAATGTACAAGGAAAAGCCTCTTAATGGAACAGAAATTTGAGAAGCGGAAAGACATGTTTCTAGAGAGTATAGACGGACAGGAAAACAAAATTGAAAGCATTTTGCTGAATGTTACATACATATTTTTGTATTTTCTGTACGCTTAGAAAGAACCATCGATATGCACAATAAAAACATTGCGTGCGTGCATCCTCCCTCTCAATTTCTTTTTTTTGATAATTAATGACAACATGATTCAATCGAATGACATCGTTAGGCCATCAACATGGTTATCATTCGATGCGCTCTTTACTCATTGCAATAATAGTTTGTAAATGCATGTGAAAAGAGAAGAAAAAGACGAAAGAATAATTACATATTGACTCACTCCATCAATATTGTTCGAAATAGCAAAATATCCTCTCATAGATATGAAGAAAGACGTCATCATTCCACGTATAATTGAAGGAAAAAAAAACAAAAAAGAAAGTTTTTTTTTTCGTCAATCTTTTCCCTCGTATTGCATATGATTTGCTGTCAGCAGTCGGAGTAAATTATCAACTTTGCTTGACGTACTGGTGTCGAATAAAACGAAAAAAAGGAAAGAAAAATGTCTAAGGACATAGAGAACAGAATAGAAAAACACTTATTTTAACTTTCATTTGCAACCTTCAGTAATAAAAAAGACCGATTTAAACTTTCTTTTGCTTTCTGGTGCAGAAATGAAGTACAAACAATGTAAGTAATGCCGATATGATTGTTCGATCGAGTCATTTTCTTTCTTAGTATGTCCCAAATCCTTGCGACCAAATCCATTGCTGCACAAAAGACACCAACGTTGTTCCTTATGCGATACACTATTGAAAACTCAACGTTACATGACAGTCGGTAAATCAGTCAATGAATCGTTCGCTATCAAGGATGAGAAAGCGATTACCTACGCCGAATGTTGTCGACAGTATTTAAAAGAATCTTCTCTTGTGGATAAGCTACATATGATTTGTTTGAAATGCTGCAATAATTTACAACGAGTACATGCATTGCATACGGATGCGGATGATTTAACTGAGAAACTACGGCGGACTTGTTCGAAAACGAAACGTTTACATCGTATTCGACATTCATCGTCGAAAAGCGAAACAGATATAAAAATTAAGATCGAATCATCGCCAGTGGATCATGTCAAAGATTTGGCAATTCCAACATCAGCGATTATTCCAAGTATTAATTCAGCTTTCATTCCTCCGCAAATCTTTTCACATGAACATGAATCTAATCAACCATATCTCTATCAACACAAGATAACGAATCCATCACCAGTATGAATCACTGCATTTTCGCATAACTATCACGAATATTCACTGATAATCTCTTAGATTCCATTCGCGCAATTCCTTATTGATTCTCCAATAGCAACCAATCTCTCTCAGCGTGACAAACAACGAAATCTTTCCAACTGTGAACAAATATCGCCAGGTTTGTATTCAAATATGCATAGTCCACTAAGGACAGTCTTCCTTCTCACGAGATTAATCACGAAAGGACCTTCCTCGATAAATTTTTTTGCGACATATGTTTCGCATCACAATTCCTCGTCTTTTCAGAAGCATAGTTTTAATATTCATCATAGTCACATACTGCTTTACAGTCGTCATGTCTTTACCAAGAAAACATGAATGTTCTAATTCGACTATGAAAAAACATACTCCACAAACCGTTTGTTCAGATCCGACTACGAACGATTATATTCGTGCATAGTTTTACACTATTTCCATAATAAATACAGCGAAGAAGAACTTTGCTACAAGCGATAAGTAATCGATAGTATTAATTGGATTATTTTCATCTAGATGATGATCATTCTATTTCGTCATATCCCAACGAGGATGAAAGCAATAGTAAAAATGCTCGTCTGTCTCGTCGGCAATATGATTTTCTTATTGAATTACCTGATCAACAGTCGTTAAATGCATTTATCGAAACATCAGCATCCGAATCCGGCTCACGATGGACTTGGCGCCGAACATCATCGAACTCTCGCGGTTACAAAGTTTACTATGTATGCAATTTTTCTATGCGTCGTCATTATCATCCATGTCCAGCGGCCATGTACGCCTTATTCA